CAAAAAAAAGCCGAATTATTTAAAACAGGAGGAGGAAACCAATTCGTTCTAATAGGTTTCTTACGCTCTCTTTTGGCAAACGATATCGACATAGAAAGTCGTAATCGTCCAATTGTTCGAGGTCATTTCTTCTTGGAGAAATAATCCGCCGACTTCTTCGTTCCATACGATCTATATAATCTAAATATTTCAGATTTTCTAGCATCTCGGCTTCGTCTTCGTCGAATGTCGCCATTTTTCTCTGAAATAGACCGCTTTGCGCAGGCGTCAAACCTAGAGTTATCGTCTACTCGCCGATTTTCTAGAGTTAGAGTTAGAGTTAGGGTTATTGTGTTTGACTCGAGATTCGGAGTTGGTGAATACCAATTTACCAGTAACTAGAGAGTTAACCCTAACTCTAACTCTAACTCGTGTTGGTGAATACGGGGGTTATTGTGTTGGAAAAATATGGCAGATTATCCAATATATATCAGATTTATATTAAATATTCAATTTAATTTTCTATAAAACTTGGTGCTAATAACACAAATTTAAATTTATTCATGCAGATTTAATAATTAACATTAACAAATGAGAAACTGCTTTATTTTATAGTTGCATTAACCTTTTTATTTATTAATATTTTTGTATGGAAGGAGTTGTTTCAATATTTGTATATAGTAATTAAAATTATTATATAAAGATAGCTTTATATTAAATTGTTGTAACAGTAAATAAAAAATATGTTGTCCTGTAAAATAGAAAATACTATATAAACATAAAAGAAAGACAAACAACTGGACTATATAAAAGTACAGTAAACATGTGCTAACTTGGAGTAATAGGAGATGAGGGCTGCCTAAGTTAATGGGGTGTTTTCTCCAATGAGGTAGAAAATAAGAATGTAGAGAAAATACAATATAGTAATTTACTATGATCAGCTCTACATAGAAATTTTACCGAGCTTTAGTAGATTATATTCTGAATTTATTATTACTGGAAATGAACTTAAAAAATTTCATGACAGTGATGTATAGTCTTCAGTAACTTACCAATTATAGTAATATAATGCACAATATTGCAAAGACTTCAAGATATCAAAAGCACTCATTAATCATAACTTCATTATAATATTAATTACTCATTAATTGTAATTTTTATATTATCGCTAAATTTTAAATTACTGTAAAATTTTTCCAAGACATGCAAAGTTAGAGGTGGCAGGGTCTGAGTTAACAGGTGTTTACTGTTTTGAGTATTATACAATATTCAATAATTTGATTTAGTCCAATATTTTCAAAACAAAAAAGCTAATAAAAAAATTGGTAAGATCATTTCAATTGGCTGTTATAATTCTAGGATATTTTCAAGATTTATAATTTTTTAAAAATAAAATTTATATCAAATTAGAAAAAAAAAATGGAAGCAAAACAGCATTGAAATGATTTTTCTCCTTCCATCTTAAGTGAAATATTTTATTCAAAGTTAAAAGCCTGTGCTTTTGCTGTTCTGCTTCCATTTTTTCTAATTTGATATAAATTTTATTTTTAAAAAATTATAAAGTTTGAAAATATCCTAGAATTATAACAGCCAATCAAAATGATCTTACTAATTTTTTTTATTGGTCTTTTAGAGTTCTTCTAAGGAGATAAAAATCCTGGAGAAACACAGTTTTAAAATTGGTAATATAATTAACTTTGATTAACTAATATAGTTTCTTCCAAGAAAAATAATTTGATTTTAAAAGCTTTTAACAGTAATTATTGAAAAAAGGTATAATTTCATACGACTTATTAAATTTTTTTAACAAACAAAGAATTCTTGTTATAAACTGAGGTTTAATATTTTCTTATTCCTGATAGTGACTGAATTATTTAAGTAATATTCTAATTATAATAACACAATTCAAACTTCTCTTCCTGCATCTAAAACTTTTTAAAAACTCATGTCCTTTATTCATCTAATTATTTTGTGTCAGTGAAAGTTCTTATTGTAATAACTTATATGTCTTAACTCTCTCATTTGTATTATGCAAAAGTGGTCACTTTCTTATTTGTTATCCCATTAATCTGACATCGCTCCATCTTTATTTCTTATATTAATTTCTGATGATGTGCATTTAGTTCAAAAGCATTTCAGTTTTTGTAAAAAGTTTTCACCATAAGAAAAGAATTTTGAATTGAATTTATATTATAAAATGATAAATTATCATTTAAAATTTTAATATTTACTATATAGCATGGTATTTACAATAATATAATAATGTAGAATATTTAAGAATATTTTAAAAATTCTTAAACATTCTTAATTTTACATTGAGATTTGAAGTAATAGCAAAATAACTTATAATATTCTTTTAATATTAATTCTTTATGATTTTTTTAAAATAATATTAATTTAAGACATTTCATTTATAATCATACATACCCTGCACTTAAAACAATCTGGATGCCAAGATTTATCCAAAGCAGAAATGTAATTTTCTGTTATCGGTCCCTTACATCCACCACATTTAGGTGCAAATAAATCCAAATAATCTCTTTTACAATATGCTTTTCCCTCTTTCTCATGATAGCCATCTTCACCAAATTTTCCTCCACATTTTGCACAGAGGAAATGTTCTGGATGCCACGTTTTATCCAAAGCTGTGACACATCTCTGAAATTATCAATGTAATCTCAATATTTTTTAAAGTAAAAATTAATATAACAAGAAAAATGACTGAGATAAAGTTTTGAAAATTACAATATTCAAATTTCCTAATATCAATATTTTATTAGAAAATTTATGTGAAATTTTCATAAATTTACTCTTTCAATATCAATGTACTAATTTAGAGCAATACTTTAGATTTACATACTAAATTATTTTATTTGTTTATTATGTTTGGGAAATTACAAGTTTGGTAAGTTATTATGTTCTTTTGTAAGTATTATTATTAAAAATTGTCAACATTAACTCAGACATTTTTATAAATTATCTTTCAATTAAGAGATTCTAATTTTAGTAAATTATTTCTACAATAAATAATATCTGAGCTTAATTTTTCAAAGAAAATCTTTGTCCAGAAAATAATTTAACCTATAAAAATTAGAAAATTAGTTCATCACTGTGTATTTACAGATTTACTGACAATACTTTTTCTTAAATTGCTTAAATTAAATAAGCCAAAAATTGATGAGTATTTTCACTCTTATCATTCAAATCATCTTGAGTTAGATTCAATATAAAGATACAAGTGCAGAACAAAATAATCATATTTAAATTTAAAACACAAAAATCACTTTAAATTTTTAAACTTTTTTTAATAAATTTACACATTTTTTTAAAATTATAGTAAAATAAGATAAATTGTGAAATATTTCTTTAAAATGTCTTTGTTGTTAAACAGTTTCTATGAAGATAAAAACAATTTCTATATGAAATGAATATACTGTACTAGCATATACTAGAGCATAATATGCTCTAGTATATGCTAGTACAGTATTCAATAACAATTCAATGCTAGCATTGAATTGTTATTACTGTATTTTAAATATTTGGCTAACACCTTTGTAGAACAAATCTTTTAAGCCAAACATTCTCAAACTTCTGGTAATTAATTTTAAGATTTACCTTATAAATGTTTCTTTTGTATGTTTTATAAAACTTGATCAAAATAAATCATGTTTACAAATATACTGTAAAGCATTTAAAAAATTGAAAACAATTTAAAATAAACTTCTATAAACAAAACAATAAAAATGACAAAATATAACTAATAAATTGAACACAATATTTAACAAATCTAAATGTTTCAAAATTACTGTCTAAAGAATCAACAAGATAAAAATCAAAATTAATTTAAATAGCTAAACTCCCTAGAATTCTTCACACAAAAGTTTATGGCCCCTCTAACTCTACCAATAATAAAATTTAAAACTTTAACATTTTTTTTTTAAACTTTACTATTTAATTGATCCATGTTACTAGAAAACTTCCATTCAATTTTTTTTGTTACCCTAAAATTTTTATCTCAAAGCTCTAATTTAGTTCCTTCTGTCTGAACTAAGTATCCTTCTAAGATTGTAAAATCTTATAGTAATCTGATTATATAAATTGCTTTTTAAATAGTCAAAAGTGCTATTTGCCATCATTAATCTGGATTATCACTCTTCTAAGATTTACTATAAATTGAGTAATATTTTCATAATCATTTATCAATCTCCAGATGAAATTTTCTTCCATCTAATGATCAAAACTTTTCCTTTCTCTGCATTTTCTCACTTAATCATGTTCATGTTCAAACACTACTATTATAACAATTAAAACTTTAAAAAGTTTGCTATAAATTAGTATAGCTCTATTTAATACTAACAGAAATTAGTAATTATTATTATTATTATACTAAAATTTATGGTGCTACTTCATATATTATTTAGAAATAATTTTTTAATAATATTTTTAATTTTGTAAAACTTTTTATTCAAATAATGAAATTTAAAACTTTTGCATTTATATTTCAAAAAATAAATTTTAAAATTTTATTATTATATTTAATTTAGTTCCATGATTTTACAAAACTCCATATTTCAAAATCAACAAAAAATAATCAGTTTTATGGATCAATCTGCAATTTTGATGGATTCAATAAACAAAAATTTTTAAGGATAAAATTATTTTAAAAATTGGGCTTATATTGTTCAACAGGTAAACGTTCTTGCAGTTTAATACTATCCCATAGCCAGTCAATAACAATAATAATAGCATTTTTTGGTGGATTTGAATTAACAATGTCAAGAAAATGTGTTGACTTTTTAATTTCATGATTCTGAAGTAAAATGCCACCATAAGCTATGAAATATCTCTTCAGTGTTTCAAAATTATCTACATCTTCAGGAATATATAACTTAACATTAGTAAATATATCTACAAGCACTTTTTTAGGTGAATTAGAATCTTCCAAACAATGTCGTTTTATTCCTTTTTTTGGTGTATTTTCTTTGTTCATTAATACTGAATTATCTTTATCATTATCTAATATTTCAAAATCAGCAGTTTGTTTAGACTTCTCATATAAGACTTCCAACTCTTCTAAAGTTGTTGCCTCTTTCCAAGTTTTATCATAACGAATTAAAGTAACACGAGGAAACCTTATTGATATTCCTGCTGTATGAGCTTCAGCTTTAGAAAATTCTGCTCCTGCAATCTCCCATACCTGTGATGTTTTTGGATCTTTACAAACAAAATCTGGAATTAAAGATTTTTTAACGTTTAACCAATGAGGGATATCTGTGTCATTGTTAACTTTCACCATGTCTAATTCTGTTTGTAATTTTTCTAAAACTGCATCAGTATGTCCTCCATGTACTTTAGTAACTGTACACCACTTTTGGGATGTCTTATCGAAGCAACCCATTAAAAAAATTGACATCATTCCACCTTTACTACCAGTACCAAAATATGCACCTAAAACAACTAAATCTGCACTGTCAGCCATGCTACCCTCATGAAGATAATCTTTTTTGACTTTCAGCCAATGTCGTTTTCCAGGTTTATAAGTACTCAATGGATCTTTTAAAACAAGTCCTTCTAATCCTTGTTTGAATATTGATGTCATCATATCATTTAATTCTTTTCGAGTTTTAATAAATTTCATTTCAGAAAATTTAATGTGATCTTTAACTTCTTCCATATTTTCTTGCAGAATTTTTCGTCTTTCTTTAAGAGGACAATCCATTAGATCTTTTCCATTGTAATATATACAATCAAACACAAATAAACAAACAGTTGCATCCTTAAAGGCAGTCTTCTTGTGAACACCTAAAGTACCAAATGGCAATGGTTTATCTGTTTTTGTATCTAATAGCAGAATTTCAGAGTCAAGAATCAAGTCTTTTCCTTGTTGAAAAGCTTTAGCTATGTGATCTTTGAAATGTGATATTTTATGCTGTTGTACAGGTTTTAAACTTCGACTAAAATATGTAAAAGTATTACCTTTTTTATGAACTTGAACACGTTCTCCATCATATTTAATCTCAGCATACATGCCGTTTGGGCATTTTTTAAAGGCATTTTCTACAGAACGACAAGGTTCGGCTAGCATTGGTAGAACAGGAGTCAAAACTGCCAATTGTTTAGAAAGACTAGATTCTCCATTTTTTCCTTCTTCATTAATTCTTTGAATAATAGATTTTAAATCATGTGATGTCTGAAATGCTTCATATGCAGAAGGATGAATGCCATCTAAAATATGTTTAGGTCCAGCATTGAACCTCAGATCATGAGTAATCAAACGAATTATCATTTTTAAATCATTTCCAGTACACCTCTGTGTAATTTTTTGTAATATCTTAGTTTGTTCTTCTTCTTTTGTCACATTCGAAAGTTCTTCCAAATATTTATCAACTTCCTTCAAGGTTAAGTTGCTTTTTTTTATCGGTTGACAACTTGCAGATTCTTCGAAAAATATTCTAATTGTTTCGGCAACATCTCCATTTTCTAGATCTTCAAGCATACTCTCTTGATTTGTTCCGAATATTTGACTAAATAATTTTACTAACTGTTTGCTTTGCAAATTATATATTCTCTTACTTACAGCTGGTAACAGCATTTTAACCCAAAGATAAAGATCTCTATTTGGATCTGCCTTGAGAAAATCACTAACTGCTTGAGATTTTTTTAGGTAACTTGATTCTTCGGCAATATTAGCACATAAACGTCGAAAATCTTTAAAAGAATCGCCTTTTGTTTTGTTTCCAACTATTTTCGGATTTTCTTTTTTTAAACTAAAGGCATTGACTGTATCGTCGAACTTTTGCTTTTTTCTTGGAGATGGAGGAGACTTTGAGGGTTGCATGTGTTTAAGTATCTCGTCTTTATCGTTTTCTTCTAGATCTTCCCATCCTTCTAAATCTGCAGGCTTTTCTATTTTCTTCGTAGTAGCTCGAGCTCTCGATAACTGCTTAAACATACAAGCTACATGATACCACTGTTTCATATCACCTTCTCCATCAGTAAAAGGATTTGGCACGACTTTACCAATTCTACAGCATCCTTTATCAATTTTTTCCTTACATTCCTTACAGGACGCGGTGCCTCGTTTAGCATAATCTACACAATATCTATTGTTGGCCATAACTGCTTAAAACCACATTAAACATGACGAAACCGTCCTCTAAACATAACAAAACGTTACCACGACAATCGGTAAACACATCTACGCATAGTTAACTCAACAATCGCTTGGTGTCGCAACCACTTTCGCGAAAAAGTGACGTCATTTATTTAATGGCGTTTTATCGTTTAATTTTTAAAACTCAAATTAATGAAAGTTTAGCAAATAGAAAATACGTAAAATCTTTTTATATACAATAGTATAACAATAGAACTGAAATAGGAACGAGGTTAATGCACCGATAAAACTTTTATTTTCGAATTCCCTAGAACTTCCCTAGAAATTTCGGAAAAATCAATAATGACAGAATGAATGAATCTTTATTATATTATAAACAATTTAAACTAGTTAAATTTTCATAATAAATAATATTTAATATTTATTTTTAAAAAAATCATCAATAATCCGTTTTTAAAATATTTAATATTAAAAAAATCAATTTAAAAAAAGTTATATGATTCACGAATCTAATAATATTCCTTTAAATAAATAATAAATTATACGGAAATTTATTTTAAAAACTAACAATAAAATTAATAATAAATTTTAAAATCATTTCAAAACAAAGTCTTAAATTGAAATGTTTATTTACGCTCCAGAAAGTACATAAAATAATTTTAAAATCTAATTAATTAATCTTCCGCATACACCACTTAAGTCGGTAAAAGATGATAAATTTTGTGCTAGTGCCAACAGAAAAAAACCAGGAAAAGACATTTTTGGTGCAGTACAAAATTATATTTACTCTTACCTTATATAGGAATTAACCATGTCGGTATAGTATTTCGGGATTTAATAAAGCGAATTTTTTAATTTCTATGGTTTTTCCAAATGAGCAAGAAAAATATAGAACATTTGAAATTTTTTCTTTTATATTTTTTGTTATTAACGAAAATATATGATTATATTCTAATCTATTCTTAAATAATTATATTTCTGAATGGCAAATTTAAAATTAAGCTTTAATAGATTAGAAAAAGACTTACGTCTAAAATAGGTCCATTGCAATGAGCACATTTTGGTGCAAAAATCTTATGATAATCGCCTTCACAATATGTTCTACCTTCTTTTTCAAAAAATGTTTTGTTTGCTAATTCTTGTTTGCAATGATAACAAGTGAAATGTTCTGGATGCCAAGTTTTGCCCAAAGCATTCACTGCCTAAATAAAAGACATTAACAAGTGAAACGAGCTTGTGATGACATTTAATTTGATTTTTTCATTTAATTTTAAATTTATTGAGTAATTATTTAAAAACTTATTATGCATTAAAAATTTTTATATAGTTTTATCTGGCATGTTTTAACTCTAATTCAATGTTAAGTAAACAGGATCTTACCTTTCCACTAATGGATTTCAGGCAGAAAGCACAAGTTTTAGTGTCTGCTCCTTGTTGGCTCATGTTAGACTGAAGATCATCTAACATAGAATGCAACTGTTCCTCGTCAGTGATCTTTGGATCCCGAGAAGGTGTGTGGGTGGAAACTTCAGAGATAGTTAGTGGTGGAGATCTGGAACTGGGCTGGAACGACCCAAGTTGGCAGAAAAGAGCACTTTAATGCATGTAAGGATTATTTTCCCACCCTCCGAAACGTGCCAAAAATTTCTCGCTCAACATCTTACAAAAATGAAATGGGAAATTCCTACTATATAATAGGGGGGTTTAGAGAATAGTTTTAAAAATCTGATATCTTTTACGAGTAGCTAATACCTATTATAGCAATTACTATTACTTATTTTCTGCCATTTGCTGCCGATATATCGTAAACTGCTTATCTCTTGTAAAAAGGTATTAAATAATCCGGATTATTTTCATCTCATACTGACAAGACAAGTGTGAATGAGGAGGCTGCACATGGATACATCACTTTCAAAATAACAGCTGTAGAACAAGCATGCATACTATTTTTAGAGTAGCTGTGGGTGGAGGATGGGAATGATTTTTCTAACTTCAACTTCAGCACATGGAATTACTTGAAACAAAGTCAGAACTGTAGAATTACATTATATGATAGATATATTTTTGTTATTAACTCATTCCATATATAATTTAATAATACAAGTTATAAATTTTGCTATTAGCAAAGTCGTAACTCACAGAAAAGCGGTTAAAAATAATTTAGAATTATACAATTAAAAATGATGAATAAAAATATACACAGTCATTTAAATTGATTCCGTGATTAATAATTATTTTTTTTCTGAATTTTTTTGAATATAAATTTTAAAAATAATTAATAAGATAGCGAAAAACTCCATAATATTGTGTTTCAAGGACATAAAAGGTGCCAGCTATTTTGACATTGAAAGCGAACTGCTAGCAATTTATATATGTCAAGAAGCATAAATAGCAGATCTAGAAAAATTTACATTACATTATCATGTCATGTGAGGCTTCTTTCAAACCTTATACTTCCTAAATATGTAAGGTTTGAAGGAAATTTAACATATTTGTAATATATCAGAAATAACATAGTCAATAATATTTTTGCTCGGTAATATAACTTTTCAATAATAAAATATTTTCATTAAGATAAAAGTTACCTGGAAATCTGTTAAACAAGCCATTAAATCATCTAAATCTTTAGTTGCAAAGGCACTTGATGGGACCGGCTTGCTTGGTGTCTTTTTTGTTGTAGTAGTAATCACTGTACGTCTAGTAACAAGTGGGCTATGTTTTACTGGTCTGCAAAAATATTTTTTCATTAAAAAACTTAGATTTATTTAATTTTGGATAATTTTTAAATTGATGTAAATAAATAGTATGTCACAATATGTGAAGTTTACATCAAAATTTTCATAATAATTGTTTTCAAAATATGTTTTTTTACTCATAAACATGAACATTTTAATCTTACTCAAGCATTTATTTTGTTGACAATTGTTCACAGAATTTTTTATGTAGCTTCTTTATTTCAATGAATTTATTTTAATATTATTTTACTTAATTAAAAATTATTAACAATTAAGTGATGAAACATAAAAAATAATATTGATAACTTTTGTTAAAATATGAGGCGATTTTTAATTTAAAGCTTCATTTTTAAAAAAGTAAAGCTTAAAAATAAAATTCAATATTAATGTAGAAGTTGAGAAATTTTAATGAGACATTGGAGAGATATATCCGTTATATTATTTATAAAATAAATCGTTGGAGATAAATAAAAGAAGGAGCAATCAAAGTATAAACCATATTGTGTATATCACATCTCCAAGAAAGTAAGAAGACAAGAAAAAATACATTTGGGATCTGAACTTATGCCCTTAGATGATATAAAAGTAATAATTCTTAGAATGAAATTAAAAATCACTAAAAGGCAGATTAAATGTATCCTTATAGCTTATATACTAGAGCATTTGCTATGATATCGAAGGGCGTGATCCTGGGATCATGCCCTTCGGCATCATAACAAATAACCCGACATCAAATATATTCTTTCGTTCTGACTGGTCGTTCGATATGGATTTTGATGTCTTTCTTTTTTAATTTAAACACTAGGATTTATATTGTAAATGTTTCTTATCAGTGGCGTAACTATATATAAGTGGGCCCCTGTGCAACATTTGTGTGGGCTCTCCATTGGGCTTTATGTAAGTTTTGCAGCAATACTTAATAAACTTAAAATTATAGCGATAAGTAGTTTACTCATTTTACAAGTAACAAACTACATTAATATACTGTACGCTCCTCACCTATTTTGTGACGAACAGTGGATACCTAAAATTTTTCTGGACTTAAATTGCAGCAAATAGATCCACTGCTTTGGACAAGCCGTTCCTTCGCTTTGGAATTTTCGATAGAAAGTAATTCTAACATTTAGTCTCTTTTCGGTAATTGAACTGTTCAAAAGTTTTTAAAATAATTTTCAGTTTAGAAAATAAACTTTCCATAGAAGCCGTATTGGCATTTTTTACAATATTTTTTTTTTACAATATCGTAAAAAAAAAAGTTGTGCAGACATCTGAAAAGCTGGGTACAAACGCATGGTTTCCAATTAGAAGTAGACCCACTAATTCTTTTGGCAATATTTTTCTCTAAGCCAAACCTGAACGCGAGAACTTATGTTGGAAATGATTACTTTCGTAGCAGGGTGAGAAGTTTTCTGCAGCTCAATACAATTTGTCATTATTAGTTGAGACCAGGGTCAAGGAAAGAATAGTGTAAAACGTATTAACCACAGTACCACCGTATTCAGACCCTCGAATTGATTCGTAAACTGTGATATTATTATATCTAAAGTAGCATAAAAAACTCATACAGGTAACCCCCGTATAACACGGCACTTCTATAGCACGGATTCGCTCTAACACGGTTCGAGAATTGGTACCATCCCCCGTATAACACGGTACTTTTATAGCACGGATTCACTCTGACACGGTTCGAGAATTGGGTAAAACCCTCGTACAACAGGAAATGTAATAAATTTTTACATACTTAAGTAATAATAGTTCACGAAAATTATTATTTTCGTGAACTATTAGTACTTAAGTATGTAAATTTTCTCTTCTCGCCTTCTGTCGATACACGTGGTCCTTCTCGAAACTTGTTTCAATGTTGCCAGATCGCGACGCTTCTGCTTCTGATGTTGCCGAATGTTTTTCCCTTATTCCATACTTGCTTTATTCTTCATAAGTGCTTAGCACCATATAAGGAAATTTATAAAGACCTTTTAACTAGAAGCAAGCAATCTAAAATTACATACATTTTGCAAAAGGTAAAGCATGGATCTGAAGATAATGCAGAAAAATGCTCAGAGGATAAGGATAACTTGCCAAAAAGAAAACGCTCTCGGTTAATTAATAGTGTTTTTAGTGATGACGAAGAAAACATTGTTTAATTTATATTAATATGTATCAATTTAAAAAATTTTAATGAAGATATTTATCTTAATTATGAAAATATACCATCATGTTTACTAATTTTTGGAACCTAACCCTCCTTTTCGTATTAGTTCTTTGTTTCGTATAACACGGATTCGCATAACACGGCAATTTTTTGGAACGTAACTACCGTGTTATACGGGGGTTACCTGTACTATATATTAAACCAGATCGCGGGAGAAGCTTTAGTCTTTTCATAATTCATTGAAATACAGTACCGACATTATTTACCCACGTGTGCCTCCAGAAATGTAGTAGAGGCATAAATAGTCGAGATTTGGAAAATTAAATTTCAAGTATTTCTATGATTTGCTTATGATTATCACGGATTTTTCCTCTTGATTGAGAGAAATTTTATTTGTAGTTTTTCAGAAAGGTAGCACCTTTGATTAGCTCCTGTCAAGATAGTTCAAGCATCTTCGAAACAGTAAATGGTTTCTAGTATGTGCGATATCAAAACGAATATGAACATTAAGAAGACAAAACGGAATGTCTCTAGCGTCTTTGTCTTTGTTACTTCGTGCTTGTTCTTAGTGAAAAGACTAATTTTTGTGAAAACTCTCAGCATGTCCAAGTCCCGCCCTAGTTGCTATGAGCCCCTGTACAATTATCCAGGTTTCACAATAATAGTTACGCCATTGTTTCTTATTTACTAACAATTTTAGCCACTTACAAGTTAAAATCGCACTTTTAACAATTACGGAATTACCTATTCCAAAAACAAAACAAAAAAAAAGTTGAAATTCTAGATCAGGGGTGGTGAACCTATGGCACGCGTGCCCAAAGTGGCACATAAGGAAAAATAATCTTGCACGTAACGTATCATATGATTTCGATTTATGATATGTCTTTTTTAACCATCCTTTCGGATTTCCACTCGATGATACTTTTTCAATTGGCTTTTTTACATTTATTCTAATTAAAGCATATTCGTTTAATTTGTTTAAATATCGTTATTTGAAGTCTAAAACTTTGGCACGCATAAACAACTTTAAAGCTAAGTATACTTACTATATGGCATGCGATCTCAAAAAGGTTCGCCACCCCTGTTCCAGATGTTTGGATAAATTAAAATATGCTAAAATATTTGATATTTTAGCAATTTTAGCGAATAGCGATAAATATTTGATAATTATCTTGAATTCTAGTAATTGAATTGATATGTACTGTACAATTAATTGATCTGATGACCAAGAGATAAGAGGTTCTCTTTTGCCTAGAAGGCTTTAAGCTCTAATCTAAATAAAATTTCTACTTTTTAATATATTCGAATTGAAATATTGTTCCTCATTCTTCATCCATTCTAAACGATCCACTGTATATCAAGCTCGTCCATAATGAAATTGAAGCTAACTATATACAGTAAATCACTTTATGTTGAACACCCTTGGTTCCATAACAATGTGTCCAATTTAGATGCATTAGATATAATTTTTTTTTAGTGTATATTGTTATAATTTCGACCAATAATAAACTTAAGTTACTTGTCGGAGCTTAACTAAACTTTTCATCCTTTTCTATTTTTAATAATTAGTTTACTTTTTATGGTTTAATAATAAATGTTTGAAATAAAATTCAGAATTTATGCATTTTTTATTGTGATATTTAAAACAGTAAAGACTTATTATTACAAAACAACGAAACTTAAAGAATAGAATCACCTATTTATATCAACTATGAAAGTTCGAAATTTAATTCACTGAAAACAATATATGCTATAATTTCTATACATTATATAATGTTAATATATATATTTTATATAAATCAATGTAATTGTTATTAATAGACACAATCGAACAAAGATTTGTTTCATTCAAATATAAATAAGCAAAATGAATTTAATTCTGGACTTCGGGGCCATATGAAGATTATTCTTATTGACTAAAATAATTAATATACAGACTTAGTTTGATTTCTTCTGAGGACAAATAAAACAACTTGTAACAATTGTATCTAGTTCAATAACTTAAATGTACAGTATTCTTATTGTTCGGGGACAATTGCACACGCTTCATTATTATAGAAAAGTTTCTCAGGTACGTACTGAGAAATAGATCATACCTGTGTATTAACTTAAAGTCATAATATTTTCGATCTTTTCAATAAAAATTATTCTTAATTTAATGATAGTCTATATAATGCTTTATTAAACTATTTATATAACATTAATAACAATAAATAAATAATATATAATTATAAATAATAATGTAGTAATATACGATATTATTTAACACAAACTTAATGAACTATAGATACAATGTTTATATTAATATAAACAAATAGCAAATAGAATTAAGTTATAGCAAATAAAAAATAGATTATAATAAATAAATTTTATTTTGATCTATGACTTCTTAATTTTTTTTAAAAAATTCTATTCTCAAACAATTTACAAAAAATATTAATTCAAAATTCGAAATTGATAAAATCTAATGAATTGTATTTTTATTTTGTGTAGATGCATCTTGGTCCTAACTAGATCGACAGATACAGTATTATTCAAATCTCTTAAGGATCGTATTAAATAATTCATAATGTTTTTTAAAATTTATTAAAACACTTCATCTTACAGTTAGTTTACGAAGTATTGTACTGTACATGATTACAAATGTACTGTACTGTATATGATTATAAATGTACTGTACAGTACTGTGCTTGTATGTTTCCTCAATAACGTATAATGAAACGACGTTAAGTGAGGGTTTGTAAAAACATTTTACTTGATAAGAAATATTCTTGTCATAGAAACAATCTATAAAAATATTTCTATCTGAAGATTTTCTAATAATTGGTTTTTTAGCAAAT